CCAATGTAGTTGTCTGTTATGAGTATGACAGAAAGCCCCTGTAGGCAGTTACATGTTCAACGAGTGCTTTAGTGGTTAGTGCTGCTGCCATGGGGTTAGCTCACAACCTCAATATGACTGAACTTGTAAATGGAACGACCTTGTGAACAAACTCGATGCAACGTTATGTCTGAATAGGGCAGCACTGCAGTAGTAATGCTTGTGGTTAGCACAATTAGAACTGCCGCAAATTTTAGTGCATTTGGAATCTGAAACTCTGAGACTGAGTATATTACCTGTGCCCCCCTTATATATTACTGTACTTTATAGATCTTACATCCTTTCATTTACTCTTGAGTCTTGACATGTGATTATCTTAGTTATGTTTCAATATAGTTATAATTTTACGTGCTTTCCATTTCATTCCTTATGTTCTTATATATATATATCATGATATTATTATTAATTAAACGGTAATCGTATGAGCTGTCTGACTATCAGATGCTGATCTTAATCTTGTTAATAAGATTGTGAATGAGTAGTTTAAAAAAAAACAAAAACAAAAAAAAAAAAAAAGAAAAAAAGGCAATTAAAGGCTAATGACGAACTCCAAAGTGAACATATCATAAGAAGTTGATATTTCAATATTAGGCTAACAAAAAATACCAAATTAAATGTTTTCTAACTTAAACAACATAGCTTGATTTGTTAAAAGAGTTTAAAGCTTAGTAATTATTATTTGAACACACATAAAATGCAAACAATACAAGAAATTGATATCTGAAATATGATCGTCATGGAAGGCTCTTGTATGATTAGGGAGTTGAGCATTTAGTACGGAGGAGTTGGTATTGCTTTCTGGGGGATTCTATAACCTCTAAAGAACTAATCCCTTCGCGTTGTATCTTCCGGTTGGCCTCTTTCAAGGTGTTTAACACCTTGATGAATTGACGCCCACACTCCTCGGTGTATGGAATGATTGGTATAGGGAATGATAGGCACTCGTCTATTAACTTTGAAGGCTCAGCCTCAGTAAACTGGGATAACCGGTCTTGACTTGTACCAAAATAGTCGATTTCTAACCCTTTTTCTTCGATATTCAAAGTTTCAAGTGCCTCGTCAATGTGCTTCTGGCACTTTGGTGCAAGCTGGGCATTGGCATTTGGTGAAGGCTGGGCATTGGCAACGCTAATGGTTAGCACAATTAGCACCACCACACACAACATTCCTACGCCCTGCGACTTTGGCTTATGCACAACCATTTTTAAGTTAGTGTAACACTAAAATCTAGCTTTAGGAGTATATAATGGTTAGTTAAACTAGGAGGAATGGAGGATGATTAGTTATACTACATATGAAAACTGGAATTCTACTGATGAAATATATATAGCACATGTCCGATCATTTTTAATTTTGCTACGTAATTTTTAAAGTATTGTTCTAAATAATTTGTATACGTGCTTCCCATTTGCTTACTAACATAATTGTATATAGTTATGCTATTCCATGATTACACTAATAATTAGAGATATAATATCGGATTGTAAAATGATTCACCAGCCGGCTGCAGCGTTTGATTTAATTTGTTATCTAATACAACTGTATCATAATAGAATGTTATGTTAAGTAATGAATTAAGAAATTAATCAACAACATTAATGAAGATAAAAGTCTCCATATACGAATTTACCTTAATAGAATCCCGAGATATCAAGTAGATTATACAAATAACCATCTTGTAACTCTTCACTACCAATACAACATGATTATAAAAGAATCACATAATTGTATTAAACTCATTTTTGGGACTTTATAGACTATTGATAGGACTCTTATGATTCCAAATCAACTTATAAGACTCTGAGGGGATACCCCAAATATTCACTTTAATTTTGTTAAAATTTCATAAAGTTGGCCCCAAAGTGTGGATAGCCTTTAGTTTTGGACTACTTTCGACTTTTTAGGACCTGAAAAGAAAACTGGTCGAAGTGTTTCCCTTGGACCCGAAGACACTCTGGGAGCATTTGAATGTTTAAAATTCATTTTGCCTTTAAAAAGCCAATTTATCTATTTACAACTTACGCCCCCTTCATTATCTCAAAGCCACTACGGACCTTATATGACCAACTAGTGGAGTCATATATGGTTCCAAACAAAATATGACCCAGAAATGTACCTCCTACAATCTCGAGACTTTTTTTACGTCGGGCCCAAAAACTTTCTAAATTGGTTCGATTTCGTGTATTATAGCCTTCATTTGTATAATTGTGGACTTTTAAGGACCCATAAAGAAAAGTGATCGGGGTTCTTTCCATGAACTCCACAATACCTCAGGAGACCATTTAGGTGGTTGAAATCACTCACTTGCCTATAGACCATTAGTTTAGCCATTTATATGTACACCTCCCTCAATTAACTCAAGGCCACCACGGGCCTTTATATAACCGACAAGTGGTTATATATGGTTCCAAACAACATTATATGGCCCTTTAATGCATCCCTACGATCCTAAGAAATTTCAACACCGAGCCCGAGTGCTTCCTAAATTGGTCTGATTTCATGTATTATAATAGCCTTAAGTATTAAATTTTAGACAATTGTGGACTTAACTAGACTTGGAAAGGAAAGAGGTCAAGGTGTCTCTTATGGACCCCTTGACATCCTAGGAGGCCATTTGAGTGGTTGAAACCATCCACTTTGTCTTTTAAACAGTCAATATGATTGTTTTGCACGCCCCCTTTCATTGGGTAAAGTCATCATCGGCCTTTATGTGATCGATTAAAGGTTATATATGGTTCAAAACAACATTATATGATCTTGAGATGCGGTCCTTACAACTCGGTGATGTTTCTAACACCGGGTTTCGAAAGGCGAAAGCCCCGAAATCGACCTAGGGAACAAGGTGATTCCTTGGGTTTCCAAAAGGGCCTCAGGTGGCCTATTAAGTATTGAGTGTCCAAAACCATCTCGTTCATGCTTTGATTCACCCTTCATCACCATGTCTTAAGATGTATTTCCTTGTTCTTATAAAATTAAAGAGTACTATTCAAGGTTATCAGGTAATAATTCGATATTTGTACTATGTTTTGTATTTATGAGAATCTTAAGAAGATGATATTCCGAAATTACATAATAATACAGATCTTACCAGATTTTACATGGATTTTTTTTTTCTTACCAATAAGTCACAAACGACGGTTAAATAAAGTTTGTGAACTTTGCAAAAGATTAAAGTGTTAATTAACTTGTAGATTGAGCCTGGCTTTAGTCCAGATGTTAAGTTTAATATGGGCTGGACTACATGGGCCTAAACTATACTTAAAGTTGAAAACTATTATTTGGACAATAAGTCTTAGCTGCACCCTGATACAGCTATGATAAATGCACCACGATCTATAAAATGAACATGTAGTAAAAAATATACGAACATGTAAAAAAAAATGAACATAAATAAAATAAAAATAAAGTATTAAATAGTGAATACGTTAAAAAAATATGATCATATTGTAAATTAAAAATAAACATGATTATCACATAATCATAGAATTGCTAGACAACGACCTTAAAAATGAACATTAAGTTAAAAATAAATAAATAAATACGTTAAAAAAAAATAATTATTTAATAATAAAAAATGAACACGTATAAAAAATATGAACATTTAGTATTTTACAAATGAACATTTATCATACAATTATTGAATACCTAGACCATACCTAATAAAATGAACACCTTAAAAAAATAAACACGTCAAAAAGAGTTATGAACATTTAGTATATTAAATATGAACATAATTTTCATATATTCATATAGTTTCAAATTCTTTATATATATTAACGAAAATAAAGATAAAATAAATCATTAAAATATGTTCATTTTTTCTGTACTAAATGTTCAATTTTAGTGTATTAAAAGTTCATTTTGTACTACATGTTCATTCTTAAAATACTACGTCTTCATTTTTTTTTTTACGGAAATTATACACAAGTTCGATTGTAATTATTTTAACTCTAAAATTTAAATATCCACCTTAAATATTATTTTGGTTCATCATAGAGAAAATAATTATCGATCTATAATATGATAGATTAAGAATCACAAATACAAAACTGATAAAATTCAACAATTTTATAACATTTACGTATTTGTAAAACCACAAAAAAAAAAAAAAAAAATCAAAATCACCTCACGATCGCGACGAATATGACGACGATGGAGAATGCTACAATGGTGACGAATTGGAGAATACTCAAAGTAGAAGGACAAATAAGAATTATGATTGGAGGAAAGTGAGGTATTTACATACTCATTTTTATAGAGATATTAAAGGAGAGAGAAAGTTTCAAAATAAGTAGAAAACAAAGGAGAGAGAAAATCAATAGAGGTAAGAAAAGAGAAGAGAGAGAGAGAGTTAAGATATAATGAAAGAAAAAGAAACACGTATGTTCATTTTTAAAGTATTATATGTTCATATATATGAAGCTAGCTAGCTGCACAAGGGTGTAGTTAAGAATTTGCGATTATTTGGATGTCTGTGTCAACTTAACTTGTGTATATTGAGCCCAAACGGCAAAAATTCAGCATAAAAAATCAGAATCAAGAGATGAACTACATTACAAAATTTGGAGGATATATGACTAGTTATACCCCAGAAGAAAATGGTGAGTGAAGTTGCAAAATGTATATACATACCATACTGATAACACGATAAGGCAATAGCACAATTTTGTTACCAATGGCATCACAAATGAAACAAGCGCAGCAATGCAAATTTTGAGTTAAAATATTGGCAGGAAAAGCATGAGAATTTTGTAGTAAAGTTCAAACCTAATATTGTAATATGTCATGTTTTGAATATATAGTGGCTCCACAAGCTGAGAACCTTCTGTTGCAAGACTTGCAACAATGAAAAATACAGCTTATTAGGGGAAGATCCGCGATTTAACTAACACCCCATTGTTACTTGTAAATTCGGCGTGGATAATTACTCCAATGTTATGGTAAATGTTGCCCAAACCTTCTAACCAAACACTTGGTAACGGTAATGGTTTAATTAAATCCGTTTCCAACCCAAAACACACTCTTACAAAACATGCTCTTAAAAGGACTATTGTATATATACAGACATACAGCACCAAGTGACTAACTACATAAACTCTAGGAAAATAAAATTTATTGTAAACGAGTCACTGTTTCAGCTCAAATTCTCAACAAAAAGTCCACATGAGCTACACTGCAAAATTTGGAAAAAATTTGCCGGTAAATATTTTTCACAACATATAATCAAATTACTTACCATGCTTATGTAGCCACAGCAGCTGGTTTAGCAGGTTTTTCAGGCTTCATTGAACAAAAGAGATTAAGAACATCTGCATGGTTCCTGATATATTGTGGGCACATGGCCAGCAGATTTTGAGCTTTGCTATGTCTTCCAGCCTTCAAAAGTGCTTCAAATACTCTAAGGAAAACGTTGGTGGATGGGTACTTGTTCACAGTCATAGCCTTGAAAAAGACCATGGCCTCATTCGCAGTTCCTCTCTTCACAAGGTAAGTTATAAATGGATCCAAAAATGGAGGGAACCCATGATTCTTCATCAAACCAAGAAGACTACAGGCTTCTTGGAAACCGTTCTGAACCAAGAGCTTGCTAATTAGAGTCTTGTATGTAGTATGCCCCGGCTTTATGTCCACTTTGTTAGCAATATCAGATAGTACCTTGCAAGCTTCAGCAGCTCTGTCTCGGCTGCAGTAAGCATTTACCAACAGATCAAGCGCATATCCTGCAGAAGCGGCTTCCTCTTTTTCAACCATCTTTTCAAAACAGTCTTTTGCATTCTCAAGATCACCACCAATACAGTGTCCTTCAATCAAAGATACCCATGTCTTGTGATCAGGGGTCATACCACACTCCTCTAGTTTCACCATAAACTCATTTGCTTCATCTTTCATCCTAGAACTACTTAGATCAAAAGCAACTCTATTTTGCATAGCCCCACTTGGTTTATACCCACCTTTAACCATAGCATCTAAGACATTGTTATACATCCTCATCCTCCCAACACTGGTCAATGATTTGAGCACAGCATCCAGCATAGAATCGTCCAAAGCAAAACCCTTATCCGTAAAGGCCTTAACAACTCTGGAAAACAGTTCCATGTCAAGCACCTTTGCAACAGCAATTTTCTTTAAAAGAAACATGCAGTCTCGCCGAGAAGGCCTGTTTGCCCCATTCATCGCAACCTCATATAGGCTAACCGAATCCTTCATCATTCTCTTTCTGACAAACCTTTCCAAGACTTTAACATAAGTCTCCAACTCTATCTCATACCCTGCATTTTTCATATCCTCAACAACAATCCAAAACCTATCCAAGCATTCCTGTCTACCCAATATGACCGCCATCGCGTTATAAGTTTGTTGATCATGTTTAAACAAACCACTCTCCCCCACCCACCTAAAAAAGATCAAACCCTTCATAGGCTCTTCACTAAGCTTCTCCAACACCAATTTAACCAATTCACTAGTATACTCAACACCTAATACACTCAACTCCTTCTCAACATTCTCATCCCAAGCTTCCCTCCTAACAATCTTACTAACCCTAGCCGACGCTGTATCAGCCGACGCCCCAGTTAGGTCCTTTGAATACAATCCCTTCAATTTCTCAACATCAGATTGCAAACCATCTTTCTCAAACCTCTCTAATACCTTATCAAACGCACCCTTTCTAACCCCATAACCCCTTTTCCTCATAGAATCAACCATTTTCCAGAGTTCCTTAACAAGCGCATTACTACCCAGAATCCCTAACATGAAATTATAAGCTTTCGAGCTCAAACTACCATTTTCCCTCTCCAAAACCCAATCAAATAACTTAATTGCAGTTTTGGGATCCGAATTAAGATCTCTAAGCACATTTACAAGCAGATCACGAGTAATAACAACATTATTAGCATCTAATTCGTTCTTAATCTCATCACCATTAATGGGTTTACTGAAGATACTAAGCAAAGTTACAGATTCAGGGGATTTTTCATGAATAGATGAAAAATGACGCAGAAAAGGGTGCTCAAAATAGTTGGAATGAGGGAGAAAAGAGGAAGAAGAAAGAGAAGATTTGGGAGTGGAAGTTACCTGGAAGTGAGAGAGTGGTCTGGAGATGGTTGTTGGAGAGAGAAAGTGATGATTGCGAAGAAGAAGACGCCATTGATTTCTCATTTTGCAGAGCTTCGAACTGAAATTTGAGATGAAATTCTTAGAGAGAGAGAAAGAAGAAAGATGTGTACCGTGTAGGGTTTTTGGGGGAGATTTTAGTTGGAAAGTGTTGGACTATCAGATTTTAATATGGGCCTATTGACAAATAAATGAATTTGAGCCATCGTAATCTCATTCGTATAAAACATTCGGAGAATCATTTTGATCTGATCTAATTTGAATTTATTTTGTCTTTAATTTAATTGTCTAATTTGACCAAAAATTTTACAATAAAAAAATCAATTGAGGTTTATTAGATTTTTATTACTACCTCCGTTTCATATTCTTTACAACAAGTAGACACTTTCTATAAAACGGAGGTAGTATTATGTATTTTATTAAGGAAAATTTGACTTTTGCTACCACCAAAAGACAATCATTTCACTTTTGCTACCCTTTAAATATTTTTTTTTTATTTTACTACCACCTAAAATCACATTTGTTAAAATTTGGTACCAGTTGACGGAAGCCATTAATTTTGCCGTTTGTGGGCCCCACGTAGTTAACTAACCTCTTCTCTCTCCTCGAATCTAATCCTCTTCCAACCTTAACTCTTCCTTGTCTCTCCATTGAATACTCTCAACCCCTAAATTTAACTCCATTGAAGGCTGATTAATTTTATTTTATTTTTGTTACAAATTTTTCTCTCTCCTCTGTCACCATCTCCATCTCTCTTTATCTCCACTTTTCTGCAAATTGAAGCTTGTAATTGTGCGCGTGGAAGGTCTTAATTGGGACAACGAAGCAGGGGAAGACAAACAGCTGCGAGGAAGCGTCATCTCCATTGTTGGAAGCTGAAGATTCGCCTGACAACGACGTATTGGAAGGTACGAAACCCTATCTATTTATAATGGTCCAACAATGGTGGTAATTTCGCAATAATTCATTCTAGTTGGGGTATTTTTGGGAGAATCTATAGTAAACCCTAGATTAGTGAGCTTTGAATATTTTAAGCAACGTTGTTTGACTAATTAAAAAGATGCTTGCACAGTCATGTGGTAGGGTATGGGGGTATATTGAGAATGCTTTTTTTTATTAATCAATTGAATTGTTTTAGTTACAGTTAAGAATAAAATAGTGTTTGATCTGTTTGTTTATTGCTATTTAATTGTAGATTAAAACAAATGGCTGATGGTGATGATAATGTTGATATTAAGTTAAGAATATTTGGGGGTTTTGTGTTTAAGAGCCGTAGGGGAGTCCAGTACCAAGTGTATGAAGCTAGGTTCACTTATTGGAAAACGGATGTATCTCTGACTTACTTGACAGTGGGATATTTAAGATATTTATGTACTGAAGGGATTAGGGACATGGGATGGGATGTACCTAACATATATGTTCTCTGGTACAAAGGGTAAGAGTTGGATGACTGGTAAAAGGAAGATAGAAACTGATGAGGATGTACAAGGGTTATTAAAGCCAAGCACAAGGATGGGTATTTGGAGGTGTTTTGTACAGTTTCTGATGACCCCACCCCTAGTAAGAACCCCCAGAGCACTGTAGTTGAAGATAATAACCCCATCTCAATCCCACAACAGTCCAACCTCAATGAAAGTGCATCCAACTGGACTGCCCATGTGTCTGCCCATACTGTTCTTGGATCCAACCCAAACCAAACACAGCCATCCCAAACACAACAATGCTCTACCCCACCTCAAACCCAAAACAAAACACATGCATAAACCTACTGACCTTGTCTTGAGAAGGAGCCCTAGACTGACTAAAGTACCTGAAACAGAAGCTGGTGTGAGCAAAGTGAGGAGAAGTCCTAGGTTTTCTAGATCTGTTGATAAGGGGAAGGGTAAGGTTATAGAAAAAGGTGGTGATGGTTGTGTGAGGCTGCATAAGGGTAGTGGGCAGGGAAGTGGGAAAAGAAAAGCAAAGAGGGCTCTTAAATTGGGTGATGAGAATGAATCAGGGTCCGGGTCATCAGGGTCTGGGTCATCAAGCTCATAAGCAAGTGATCTAGAGATTGATTGGGGGAGCCTAGGGAAGAAGAGGCAGGAAGTGAGGATGATGAATGACATAGGCAAACTGGTGAAGGCATCTTAACTGAAGTTCACAGAAGTTTGGAGATTGTAAGGCATGGGGCTGTAAATTCAATGCTGTTATAAGAGATGCAAGGGACAAGCCAATACTCACTCAAATGGAGTGGATGAGAAGGTATATGATGAAGAGGCATAATGAGAAATGGGAGGCTGCAAACAAAATGGATGGGAAGGTGATGCCCTATGTGACTAAGCTTTTTGAGAGGATTGAGAGGGTTGCAAGGCACTGCATAGCGCAGGTTTCAAGAGGAGACTCCTATGAGGTTGAGCTCAATGGGGATACAGTGCTAGTTGACATAGGTAACATGACTTGCACATGTTACCATTGGCAGTTAACTGGTATTCTATGTGTACATGGGTTTGCATGCATATTGGACAAGAGGGTGGACCTAGAAGACTTTGTGGATGTGTATTACACAAGGCAGAAATATATGTATGCATATGTGTTAGGTTTTCAAGTAATTCTAAACCAAGAACTACTTTAACAATTGTGGGAACAAAACCTAACTATGTATAATTGATGATGAATTATACAAAAATCCAAATACAATTCAATGTATTACAACCAAACACCAATTTATCAAAGTAATACAGAAAATACAATGAAAAACACTAGTTGTGAAAGATAATGTACTTGCCTCTACTCCAAGCTTTAACAATCAACATGAACATGAGAAATCGGTGACCACTTGAGTCTCAATCCTTGATACACTGACTTAGGCGTATGAATACTTTCCTAAAGAGTTTAATTTCCCCCACAATGGTGCTTGGGTTTGAACCGGAAATACTCTTTGAGATACAAAAGTCAGCCCAATTGTTCTTTGCACTAAGAACAAATTGATGATAAAATGATTCACAAGAAAGACTAAAATCAAGAAGATTTCTCACAAAAGATTGCAAGTTTTTTGAGAGAAAAATGGAGAATTCCTTAGGGAGAATAACAGAGAAAAAATTCTGTCTTCTTTCTTTCGAAAAAACATTCTCTATAAAAATAGAATCAACCGTCGTATAAAACCGCAAAACGGCAAGAAGCGCGGGCGCGAGCGAAGAGGCGCGGGCGCGCCACCACAGCAGCGCGGGCGCGCCACCTGCCCGCGCGGGCGCGCCACCTGCCCGCGCGGGCGCGTCACCAGCTCGCGCAGGCGCCTCCTTCTTTGCCTAAAAACTTTGAATTTCCAGAAAGTTAGCGCGATTTTAGCGCGGTTTATGCGCGGGTCGAGCAATGCCATGGAGCGGGCGCGCCAACCGGAGGCGCGGGCGCGCCTCCAAACTTTTCCAGAATTTTCAGAAACTCATCGCGGTTTATGCGCGGTTTTGTCGCGGGTCGCGCCTAGCTGGCGCGAGCGCGATTCAGGAGCGCGAGCGCTCCTCCGACACTCTAAATTATCAACAATCCTCCCCCATTTAGAGTGTCTTCTTTATACATTCTCCAAATCTATCATTTAGCCACATCTTATGCATCAATGTTAATGTCCCTTCGGATTGAATTAACACCTAGTACAACACACTTAACGATGATCATATCCCATGATTTCTATATGGATTGAATCACACGGATATATCCAACCATTCGAAGGTGAAGCACACATAAGATAAATCGAATCATTCATCACTTGACACTTTTAAACAGCCATGTGTCCGTATCTTTCATAAGTTCATCGAAGTCTATATGTCCTTTTAGACTTCTTGAAGCGGCTAAACTTCGAACTTATATAGGTAGGTTCTCATATACGTAATTGTGCCCTTGTGACAAGACACTTACATTTAGAGCTTCTCAACTCTAAACCTTTGAGAACTTTTAATTGACGCTCCCTCATACATCACAAGTACCATAGCAATATGGGTCATTAAACATTGCTAACAAACATCAAAATTGCGATTCAACCACATTGAATCTAAGACTTGATGTTTCTTCAAGCGTTAGATTGGGTTTCACAAGTTTGTGTTTTTGGACATAAACCCATTCCATTCATAGCAAATATGATGGAATGTCTCGGCATTGCCTTGGTAAAGCAATCCGCCAAATTCATCTTTGTTGGAACATAGTCAAGACTTATGACCCCATCATTGATAAGCTCTTTCACTAGGCTATGCCTTAGTGAAATATGCCGAGACTTACCATTGTACACTTGACTATAAGCCTTTATCAACGTCGAATTGGAATCACAATGGATTGCCACCGGTGGCATTGGCTTTGACAATAAAGGCAACTCTATCATGAGATTCCTCAACCACTCAGCTTCTTTACTAGCTGATGCAAGAGCTATAAACTCTGCTGCCATAGTGGAATCAGCGATGCAAGTTTGTTTCTTGGAAGACCATGAAATGGCACCTCCTCCAAACATAAATACCCAACCACTTACAGAAGAGTCATCCTCTTTGTAAGTGATCCAACTAGCATCCGAAAATCCTTCTAAAACCGAAGGAAATCCACTATAAGATAGACCATAGTCTAATGTACCCTTAAGGTACTTAAGACCCTCCTTATTGCAAACCAATGCTGTGCACCCGAGTTACTAGTAAATCTACTTAGTTTTCCCACAACCAATGCAATATCCGGTCTTGTACTAGTCATGGAATACATCAAGGATCCAATTATCCTTGAATATTCCAATTGGGAAACCGTTTTCCCTGAATTCTTAACCAGTTTAACATTAGGTTCCATGGGGGTGTTCACGGGACACTTATCAAACATATTAAATCGTTTGATCATTTTCTCAACATAGTGAGATTGACTTAGAATAAGTCTTCCATTGTCCCGAATTATCTTGATGCCCAATATGACATCCGCCTCCCCCAAATCCTTCATCTGAAAAGATGAGGATAAGAATTCCTTGGTCAATTCTACTTGTTGTAGACTTGTACCAAAGATAAGCATATCATCAACATATAGACAAATGATGACACCATGACCTTTGTCATCAAATTTACTATATATACACTTATCTGCTTGATTCACTTTGAATCCAAAGGACAAAATCGTGTCATCAAATTTCCGATGCCACTGCTTTGGTGCTTGTTTAAGTCCATACAATGACTTAACCA